GAAGACGGGAGGGAGGGGGAGAGGAAGAGGAATGAGAAGCCAACGCCGGAGAAGCCATTGCCGAGAGAGGGAGACGGGAGATATGACTGAACGTGAAAAATTAGGGATTTAAGTTAAGTTAAGTGGGGTGGGGTGGGGTGGGTGTATATAAATTAATTTTTATAATATTATTATTAATATTTAATTCAATATAAAAAATCTGTATTTATATATAAAATCTCAGATTTTTGAAAATTAAAGTATGAAATATGATTTTAGAATTTCAATATCCAAATGCAGGGGTGGGTGTAATTTCCACATTTTTTTTATTTAAAGTAAAATAAAATAAATTGTTTAAATACGTTTGAAGGTAAGAATTTTTTTAAAAATATTAATTGGTTTTGCTCAAATTTACTTTGACAGCGCTCCCACATGTTAAAATAAAGAGTTTTTTTTTTGTTTTTTTGTATAATCGTATCATAAGTACTACTATAGATGAACCTTGAAAGGGATAGGATCACCATGTATAGAACTTCGAGCTAGCAAAGAGAGACGACTAAAAGATGTTTAATGCACAAGTAATGCCTAGAAAAAGTCCTAAGAGGCCCCTTGTTTCGCCATTCATGGCACTCTCTTTGCCTCCGTTTGGCTTCAAAGTTTTAGTAAATTTTAATAAAAGTTAATGAAATGTGTGATTGAAAAATTGATAAAATTTGTTAATCTTATGAGATATGTGAATGAAATTGAGCTTCAAGAAATGAGAGCCAAACTTCATATTAAAGCCTTCAATAAAAACAAACACTTTATTGTTAAATATCGCAAAAGGCATATGCAACACTATTTCCAGAAATACATTGTGCAAACAAAAATAATTTTGTTAAAAATAAACACAAAAGATAATATAAGAAAAGAAAAGGAGAAGAATTCTCTCTATACATATATAAGTTGGATTCTAGTGACAATAAGCTGTAAAAAGTAAAACAGGCTTTTCATGCCGTAATAAGAGATACAAAGATATTCATTCTTGATGGGATTCAGTTAAGGATTGCTATCAGGAGAGAGTACAAGAATAATTGAGGAATAACTAAGCATGGGATAAAAATTGTTATCAAGAAAATGAGCATATTGCCTGATAGCCAGATCTTTCTCTGGGAGATCATCTGAGAGGAAGTCGAATGGTGCTGGCTTGCCGGTGTCCACCAAGGGCTCCCACCTGTAACCTGGGCGTTCGGGTAACGAAGTGGTGACAGGGACGTGGCTAGCATTAAAGGCGATGTATAATTCTCCCTTCAAAGAGTCGATCTGGCAATGTCCGTATCAACAAAAACAAATCAATTGATAAAATGATAAGCAAAAGGAAACATGATCAGGATTAAACCAGATAATTTCAGAAGAAGTCTCCTCACGTAATGGAGAAGAAAAGAACTAAACTCAAATTAGCTAATGCAGAAGATCACCAAGCTATTGAGTTTAACAATAATTTATGTAATATATTTGGCAGTCAGTTGAGTTGATTTGAACTATCTCGATATATAAGTCAGCATTATGAGTACTAGAATAATATTCTAGCAAATAATTAATGAGAAAAATACCAATGTAAATGCAACAAATCGGTTCGACTCAGACCAATCTGGCACTCCGGGCATATGACCATGCCATTGCAGTCGCTCTGCTGTTGGGAAGTTGTTTAAACCAAGTGATTCGCATTCACTGGAAAGTAAAGATCATGTGATTAGATCCTTCGAGGCTAAAAGCACAAAAAGTTATCTAAATACAATGGGAAATGCTTACTGGCGGAACTTGGTCATGTGACAGCAAAATCTGAAGAAATCTGATGAAGACTCCTCCATTTTATCCCACCGGAAGTAGTTAATCTGCAGCCAATGCTTCAGTTACGCCCCTCTCAAAAATGGAAATGAAACCACGTGCAGTGTGGGGGTAGGGAGAGGAGTAATTATGATATTTAATGGTGTCGGGCATAGAGTATTACAAAATTATCATGGCAATACGTATTGTTGTTACCCCCTTTTGTATGACCATATTCATCACCCATGTAGATCATTGGAACACCCTGGTCATACAATGATAAAGAACATAAAGGAAGGACCAAAAATACTTGATAATTCACTGGAAGAGCATATAGGGCTGATGTGAAGAAGCATCGTAAATAATTTAATGATCAGTGTAACCAAAGTTGGATCGAGAAACAATAATATGCTTCTGATTGGATTCCAATTATCTTTGCCTGTCACGTCTACTAATCTCTCTTTGTAGTTGTCATGATAAAACCATCCACGTAAAAGTGTGACCATTATTTTATGTTTATATGATTTTCTAGCAAACCTCTTTATGGTGCACACATTTAAGAAAAATCTGATAAAGACGTCGTTTCCTCTCACTAAGCAAGTGAAAAAACTTGGGGAAACGGAGGATACAGAGTCCTATACTGGAGCAATACATATTTGCAAGAGATTTACTCAGTATTGAGTCATTGAGCATATTTTTTGCTACAGGCTAAAGAAAACTCATGTGCATTGGCAAACAGTAGGGTACATCATAGTCTAAGCCTAAGATTTTTATGTCAAATTGGGGGACAGAAGACAAAATAAACAACTTCGACGAGTTTTAAAATAAGCAGATGTAAAACACTAGTGAAAAGAGTTTAAAGGTAAATCTTACTTGGGAAACCATGAGAGAGAGGAAGAAATTTCTCATTTGTCGTCTTCTCAATTTCTTCACAGAAGTACTGACAAATTCTCCCTCCTGTGCAACTTATAGAAGTACAAAAATGAGATATTTTTGTCCATGGGCTATCAAAGAAAATGAGCTGAGATTTGAAAATTAACTAAGAAAGCTTGTCAAATTTAGCCCGTTTGACACCCATTTTGTTTGAAAAACAGTTTTTGGAATAGTGATTGATGGAAGATTGTGTGATTAAAAAGTAGAGTTTATGTGTAATATTATTTTATTAATCGAATGTGTGGTTGAAATGAAGAAAGAGAAATAGAATGAGAAAGAAATGGGTGTCAAACAGGGGCTTAAAGTTCTCTATTTCAAATTCAGACCTTTAAGGTAAATCAAAATATTTTGCATGCAAACAAGCTTACACTCCAGATTATGTGAGCTCTAGAGTCACATCACTCTTTAAAGGACTGGATATTAAAAGAATTACAGAACTATGAGAAGCATATTTAAATGTACAACTTTGATTTGGTTATTTAAGCTTACAAATGAAATTTGCTTCTAAATGGTATAAAGAAACAAAGATTCTGCAGAATTTTACTCCAACATATTGTCAAGGCTCAGGCTTACCTGACCACAATTCCAACTATTATTATGATTCTCCCCATCTTTGTTTTCTTCACCATTTGCCAAATTGTGCTTGGTATTATACGTCACCAAATCAGCCAAAGTAAAACCATCATGAGCGCATACAAAATTGATACTGTTCCAAGGTTTCCTTCCACCTTCCTGATTCAAATCAATAGTTAAAGATTTCAAAACAAGAAATAGACACAGAATATGCATTCTCATAATTTTAATATAAAAGAGATACATCACATTATAGCACTCCTAATGATAACGAGAAATGAGTTGCATAACATCATGACTGCTCACATTCAACTACTGAGTAATTAAAATGGTCGAAGTACCTGATATAAATTAGGGCTTCCACAAAGACATTCAGCGAAAGCCCCGGAAAACCCATCGGTACCTTTGATGAACTGTCGTACAACATCACGATACTGCAAAAGGATTAAAATGCAAGGTTCAATTGAAGTTTTGAACATATCCAGGTAGATGGGAGAAAAAGAAAATATACAAAGAGAGAGAGGACGCAAACTGAAAGATTATGGGGTAAGTTGGTTGAAGGACACTACTTTATCATTCAGCTTCTCAATCAAAATTAGACACTACAAAGATTTTGTTAAAATGATGCATAGAATCATGGAAACCATAGATCATCAGCAAATAAATGAAATGCTAACATTTCTTTATCGAAAGTCTAATAAAATGGGACTTCTCAGGAAGTCTCATCTTACTACCAAAAATAACATTGTGCCAGAATAAATGATGAAAAGCTTTATTATTCATTAATTAAATCGAATACAACAGAAACTAAATTATCTTGTATTGAAGAAACCACAAGAAGAAATACAACATGCATTCTGTCTGTGGTTATAGACATAATGAACCGTTAATTTTTTAGAATTATAAGTTTTTCTAGAACCCTAGGAAAATGTTTTGCGACTGGCATATAAAGAAAACTATATAAGCTCAACTACGTTGTTTGAAGTTGGAATAATGCTGTACTCTTGACGTCTATTCTCATGATTAATTATGAAGGTGTAATGATGTTTCTTAAAAAAGAAAGCAGGTTGAAAGCAGATAACCAGGATGCTCATATTTTTCAACTTCACAGACATATCTCTTTATAAGTCACTTCCCATATCTTCCAGTCATTAAAATACCTGAGATGATGATCAGAGACCATAATTAGCATTCAGACATACCTTCCCATTCCACTCAGACCATACACCCCAATGGGGAAACATGCCGACTTGATAGAGGCCTCCACAATCCCATGCTTCAGCTATAAGCTGTTTGAGCAAGCAACAAACATGTATTAAGGACGAAAGACCATATATGCTAATACCAAAGAATAAACCACTTAAGGATACATTGCATAACAAAATAAACCAAAACTGTGTAAGTGCTCGCATTGACAGGTAACTAAAGAAAATTGATAGGCAGTTGTTTTACCAAAGACTATGCCTGATGAAAAGGACATTGTTATCCTCCATTGCATTTATTTAGACGAAGGTTTGCTAAGCAACATTCAAATACCTAGCGATAGTCTTCTAACTCCTCAGACAGTCCTTTATTATCTATTATTAATGAAAAAATGGCATGCTAATTTCAAGTTGTTAAATAAGCATAAAATTGAACTAACTCACCTTCACTCCATGAAGTATTGGGTCATTGCTAATCATGTCGATCAATGGTGGGCTACTGAGAGGAGATCCTGTCGTGAGTGTATCACCTTCAACAGCATTTCCATATACGTTTACTGCATCCCAGAGACTGGACACGGAAATATCCAAAGCAAAAGAACGAAGAATTAGTATCTAAAGACTAATCATATAGAATAAATCATTTAACCATTGACCTGCCACTCCTTGTCAAGATCGAAGCAAGATCAAAGCGGAATCCATCTACATGCATCTCTATTACCCAGTATCTGTTGAAAATCAAGAACAGCATAACTAAGGATTAAATGTGGTAACAGGCAAGTCGTACAAACTATAAGAATGAGAATATGTTGCAGAAAACTTCTAATAGAATGGCAAAAACATACATTCCAAAAACTTTTCTTCTGGAGTAGAAGATAAAGAATAAGAAGCACATCCAGCAACCTAATTAATTCAATTTTTCAGTGTAATTTTTCTATAAAGCACAAAACCAAACTGCTGTTCCACCGTAATACCAATGCACAACTAATTGCGTCAAGATTGCGTAATAGCGAAAAACAACTTCCCGGATACACTGTTTCTAAAAGCACACAAGGCTTAAACCTTGAGTTTCGCCTCTTTCAAGCTTTCATTAAGATCTTCATATCTTACTCAAATTCCATTTAGTCATTTACTAAGGTACAAGCCTTTAGGACATACGCCTCATGGTCGCTGGGCTTTACGCTCCCTAGTCTTGCTGCTTCTAGAATTTTTTATTATTTTTTTTTTAACCTCTGCCTTTTGAGTTGGCTTTTCATAACCTAAAACATTTTAAGGGCGTTCTTTTTTAGTTGAATAAAAGCAACCCAACCCTAAAAATTAGAAAGAAACGATTGACAATTAGAGAAGAGAACCAGTGAAGAGCTAGTCATGCCTACCCTCATAAAACTGTATGATAACCTCCCTCACCCCATCCCCACAAAGTGAAGTTGCAACTTCTCAAGGGCATTTGGCAGATCATCACGTCACATGTAACTTCACTATTCTCTTTTATATTGTTCTTGATGTTGTCTCTGTTTTCTTTTTCTTTTATCTGTGTTTACTTTTCATTTAACCACCGATCAAACAAATTTCTTAAATTGTTAACTGAGTCAATTGTTGCAGACTTTTAGTTCCAGTCATTGATTACTGGTCTTGTTATGTGATTACTGCTTTTTTATCCTATTTGTAATTGCAGGTTAGACTTGCAATTTTGTAGAAATGTTTTATTCTGGATTCTTTAGATGGTTTATGGTTTATTATAAGTAAAATTTTGAATTATTTTATTCATTTATGTTAAGGTTTGCACCTTAAAGCACCTTGAGGCTTACATCTCACTTCACAGACACAAATTGCCTCAATACTGATCAACCTTTTAAACGCCGTCTGTTACCAGTTCTACAAAAGCCTCAAGAGAACCATGAACTCGTTAAATCGATTATCTTCGTCAATCTTGCAATGCACAGTATATAGACTAAGCTTGCACACAAGAAAAAACAAACAAAGAAACTGGTATTAAATCTTATTAAAAATAGCACCTTTAAAATGATGTATCTTGTTAAATTCATTTTTTTGTCATATGGAAAAAAAAAAAAATCTTAATAATAACTACAATTTTTTCAGTAATGTGATTTAGCCTCTATCTCCCAAAGATACATGTGAAGCAGAAACCAAAATAATAGAATATTCCTATGGAAAGAACAGTGGTGGTTACTGGTTACTCAATTGAAACAGAAAATGGGAAACTGATTATGACGTCTTGAGAAATACAAGTCCTGGAATCAGTCAGTAGTATTCAGGGATGGAACAGTAATAAGGTTTTCTTTTCCATTAATCTCTCGTTAAAATAAAGGGAAACTAGAATGAGAACTTTTCCACTAATCTTTTGGTAAAATAAACGGAAACTAGAATGAGAACTTGTTTAATTCCCAAAAGAAAAAATCAAAAAAAATAATTGTTTATTTAACAAAATTCAGAGGCTCGTTTAGCACTCAAATAGAAGGTTTCAATGACTGCAAATTAGGTACGACTGACAGTAAATCTACCTCAAGCATTCCAATATAAATTGGCGTACAATAGGATGATTGCAGTTGAAAGTGTTTCCACAACCTGAGTAATTGTAGAATTCTCCCTGTGACATGGATTATATGAGTTCCAGATAGATTATGCTTTATAAAAATAATTAAATATGGTATCAAGAATTTTCTTAATTACGGCAGAAGTCAACATCATTGCATTTAAGTTATTGAAACAAGCCAACTGGAAGACTGAAGAAACTTGACCAAATTGCTTTGTACTATGTGCCAATTCGTCATTGAACTAACTTACATATCAGAAAGTTATAAGTATAACCATAGATCTACTACAAATGAACACGTTCTAAAAGAGGTGTACTAATTCAGCCCATTTAGGAAAAGGAAAAATAAAATAAAAATCAGTATATTATTCTCAGCAAGTTTTGGCATCCTCATTTTTTCTATTATTTGCTCAGTTCCGCAAGTAATTTGTTTATTGAAATGATCTGCACCAGCCTCTATTTATTATGAGCCATAGTGCGACATCATGGGGCAAGTGTCAGATATGAGCACATCATATGGAAATGAACCAGGGTTCAAATTCTAAACTTGATAGGTTACTGTATGTATTTGTGAGCACGAGGCAGTTCTTTTTTGAGAATCTCAATATGCCCACTCTTCTCAAATGGAAGCCATTACGCATTAGTTATCATCTGGAAAACCGGAACTCGTCAAAATTTATTAGAGAAACAAAAGATGTCCCACCTAATCCAACCATCCAGTTTAATTTACTAAAGAATTACCATGTATAAACACCAAAAAGTAAGAACAAAGCATTCTTCCCCTTGTATTGTTTTCCATCACACTTACATTAACAGCGAAGCTCCTCTACTTGGGAAGAAGCTCACTTTTACATAGTTAATTTATTTTCTTATCACTGAAAAGTTACATGCATGTAGATAAAAATTATTAATTATCAAAAAGTCAACCTAGATGTTATCAGTATACAGAACTTAAAGGCCTTGAAGAAAATGAATATTTGAGCAGAAGGTCTTTTCAAGAAGTAAGCACGGTACAAGTAATACATGTAGTTATACCTTAGGTGCAAGCATATAAAAGACACTATTGTCAACACCTCTAAATGAGAGTACAGGACCATTTTCATTTCCTTCAGCAGTGTGATTGAAAACGACATCCATAATCACCTGGTAAATCAAAATAAAGACAAACTCATCAAATATTTCAAAAGAAATTCTAGAGAATGTCGAAAGAAGTTCACCTCAATTCCTCGTTTATGTGCTTCTCTAACAAGATGCTTGAACTCCTTTACTGCACCAAGGCCATAATTACCAATCCCAGCAGATGAATATCTTGCCATTGGTGAAAAGAAACTGACAGTAGAATAACCCCAAAAATTCATCCTGATAAAAGAAAGAATATTCCAAAAATAATGGTGGTTTCTTGTTAGCAATGATACCATCATAAACTTAATGTGCATAAAGCCATTGATGTTTACTATGAATGACAAAAATGTATTTAAATCCACCAATACTGTTGAGTAACATCAATAAATTTCTGTCATGAAGCAATGCATAAGCAATGAAATTGTAAAAATTTAGCCCCCGTTTGTCTACCATTATTCCAAAAAATTATTTGCTACAGTAAAATTTTCTACCACATATTCACCCAATAAAATATTCTACACACAAATCAATAAAGTAACTTTAAATTCCAACCACACATTCTTCAAAAAATANTAAATTCCAACCACACATTCTTCAAAAAATACTATTCATTACTCTATTTTTCTTCCAATAATGGGAGACAAACACACCCTTAGTATAATCCTTAGTGTAATGGACCGGAGAAGTTGCTAGCAATCTGTAAATTTAAAAAATTGTCGTTTAAAGAAAGGACAAGTTGTAAGGATTATGAAGTTCAAAATTTTCAAAATTGATTAGATGTTAAAATTTCAACCAAACAGATAAAGAGTTGAAATGACAATTTCAACGGAATGAATCATGAAAAAGAAGATGCAGTTAAGATTTACTAAAGAGAGATATTCATTTTGTGATTTTCACGTCTACTCGTAAGAAATTCCACCAAGGAAGCAGGTTTCTAGTCTAGTACATTTTTCATATTAGTTGCAATAATGCGATATCCAATTTGTCATGCTATAGGATCAAGATTGAGGCGTTTGCATGATTATGCACTGCATATCATGGGTTTAGAATGCCAAAACAGCTTCTATCCATGCTGTGGCAGAAGCCTTGTGCACTATTCCTGTCCCTTTTCCACTAGCAACTTCGATTTGTGGTAACTGTTGATGCAAACGAAAATACAATATTTAACCCCCATGTCAAAGATTTCATAGGTATCTTAAACTATATAAGTCATTTTAATGCGCAAAAGAAGTACACGTCTCCCCAGATTTTTTTTTTAATGATAAGATATTGTCGTAGATATATATATATATATTGAAACTTGTGGACAGCTTCACATGCTAGCAGCACAAATGTATGTAGAAGAAGCCGGGACAACATAGATGAAGGAAGAAGCCGTTCCATCATAGACAGCTTCATGTGATGAAAGGTAAAAATATTATAATAATGAACAACAAGGATGAAGGAAGAAACCATTCCATCAAAGAAAGCTTCTTCTGATGAAAGGTAAAAGATTTTAATAATATTTAATTGCATAAAGTACCAGTACAATCATTATGATGCAAAAACGAAAGCAACATCACAATGAAAAAAAATACGAGCCTCTTTGATCCCCATTAAAAGGATAAGAATGTATTTTAGAATAGTAGATTGATGAAGAATGTGAGGTTAAAAAATAAGAAAAAGTTTTGAGTTTTCATGTAATATTATCTTATCTTATTGAAGAATGTGTGATTGAAGAAAAAAAAGAGAAAAATGTATCTTGGAAAAAATGGGAATCAAACAAGGGCTAAATATAATACTCATGAAACTCGAACAATCTTAATCCTGAAGTTGAATCTTTATTCTGAAATTGACCATATATAATGGAATTCAGGCCATTGTATAATTTACTATAAGGTTCCAAAAGAAAAGGAAACGGAGTTGGAATTTACTTGTAGTCACCCAAGATAGAATTGTAGCTGTAGTACTCCAGCTCATTGAATTCATGACATGGCATTAGTTCAATACAGTTGACACCAAGTTTCTGCAAGGAAGACAACAATGTAAGATGGCTGTCAAACCACAAATACTAAAGGAATAAATGAACAGGCAAGTTAACATTACCTTGAATATACAAGAGTCACAAATTTTTAAACCATAAAGATAGTCAAATCTTACACAGCAACACGGCAAAAGAGCATATGCATCTATTGTTCGAAGAAATTGCATCTGTTAGAGCTTCCTGTGGTCTGTGGATATATTGTACCTTCACAAGGACACGTCACGTTCTCTGCTTCAACATTTCAATTATGCCAATTCAGACTCTGCTCGTTTCCAGCTAATCTATTACCTTCATAAAACCATACTTTTCTGAAGATGCTTTAATTACATCTAGGAGTTCTAGGAATTTCATTTAATTGGTATGTGTGCTGGTTGCTGATCCCACAAAAGATAAAATAATGTTTTGTGAGCTGAGCTGAGTCGAGTCTTTACCGATGATATATATATTGATGCGGACATCACGATTTATTTTATTGTTGATTTTTAATTTTTTGAAAGGTATTATTGATTTTTATTAATTACGTTTTATTATTATTGGGCTTGTAGTAGTGAATTGGCCCAAGCCCGTCAGTGGTAGGTTATGTTTTTACTATTTATTGAATATTTTTCATAGTAGTTGGGACAGTTGATGATTTGATGAAAATTAAAATTGGCCGTTGCCACGTTTTCCCTTTTCCCTTTTCCCTACGTTTCTTTTTCTTCTCTGTCGGCTTCTTCCTTCTCTTCTTCTTATCCTTCTCGTTTTATCTTCTTCTTGGCTTGAATTCTAATTCATCCTACATCACACACACACATTATATATATATATATTTTTTTTAATAGGAGTCTTTACCGATGATATATCCATTTCCTATGCTTGGACTGGTGTAATCTTGGTTAGTTATGAACGGCCATTGTTTGAATCTGGAGGGTTTATCTCATGTTATATTTCTTTTGGGAATGAAACTAAACGAAAGTGTTTGAAATTCAAAATCATTGCTGAGCAAAATTCTTGAAGCAACATTGAGTGTATTTCACATTTGCAATATTGCAGATAAGGTGTAACTTGAAACATTTCATACTACAAATGACATTAAACAGTAAATATCCAGATAAAAAATTTAAACACGTGCTTGCTCCATGAAATTCAAGGGAAAAAAGTATTTACCTTCAAGTGATCGAGTTTCTCTACCGCACCAAGATAAGTACCAGGGAATTTTGCCTTGCTTGATTCATGTCTTGTATATCCACGAACATGCATTTCATAAATTATTAGATCTCTCTGTGGAAAATTCAGGGGCAAATCTCCTTCCCAGTCAAACTGTGAAATAGAAAAATAACCTAAATATGATTGCAATGTAAGAGCAAAACCCATATCAATACATCTCCTTCAAATGTAAAACACATCTAAGTTATATTTAGGTCAAAATAGTCCAACGCTTCCGAATTCAGGCGTGGCAATCAAACACTGGTACTCAATTGAAATGATGGTAGAGGACAGACACAAAAAAAGGAATCCAAAAAAGGGGGAAAAAGTTAAGATACATTCAGCCTCACCTATAAAAGAATCGTTAAACAATAAAATTAATCTTAAAACAAAAAGGTTCTTTAAAAACTCGGTGATCAATTCAGGTGTACCTCAGGCCGCTGATGCCATTGTTTAGCCCAGCACAGCACAAGTGACGAAAAAACATAACAAATGATTCTCAAAAAGTATTGTTGACAATCAACTGGACCAATATCTTTTAGTTGCCAGCACAACCAAATGACAAAAACAAATTTGAGAGAGGGAGTTCAATTGCACAAACCATGATCATATAATCTAAATTTGGAAACCACACTATCCAATGTACTGCTTATTCAGGGTTAAGGAAGGGTAATCTTCATGTATATTTATAAACACAGACAATTACTAGTGCCACATTATTATCTTGGATAAATGAACAACAAATACAAAGTGAACGTGACAAAAGCGATGCAATAGAGATATTTCTCAAGTTTGAAAGAAGTCCCCAACATTGTTAGCAAAAATAGCTAACAATCGATGTCACGCCGTAAGCCCATTGCACTCGTGCGATAGAGAGGGTCTCAGCACTAACTGCTTGTACCATGGAAGGTCAAGGCCAAAAATGTTTCACACAAGTTAACCTTGGCCCATGATTAATCACTTATAAGTAAAGTTCCTTTTCTCTTCCCAGTTCCCACAATTGTGGGACAAACCCTACTTGAGGTATGACAATGGAAACTCAGTGCATGTCAAAATACTTGATCCCAACATTTTAGCACACATTCTTTCATATTTTACATTTCCCGAGAACTTCTCTTTCTTCCAGTAAAACACACCTCTGATAATTTCGATCAACGCAGTTCATCAGATACCTCATCATTATCAGAAGGCACGGCACACGCCATCTGTGGCCAACAATCCTCCTCAGGTCCCAAAGTACCATATTCCCCTCTGCTTACAATGGACTGCATCAGAAATCGAAAATTGCTAAGTTATCATAGCTTATGCAATTGTGATGAAATCCTCCTTTTAATAGCTTATACAATCATGATGAAGAAAATGAATAGCCTTTCTTGACATGGGTATGATATGAAAAGTCATAATGTTTCTTTCAAGTAGCCATAGAACGCTAACCTTAGCATAGGGATCAATCAATATTTGTGAAGAATCAAAGTAATGCCCTTCTTCTGGGGAGAACTCCCCATCAAATTTGTATCCATAAACCATATTTTCAAAGTCTCCTGTCAGAAACACATGCCATACATCTCCAGTTTTATTGGTCAGGGGATTCAAAGAGATCTGTTCAGTCACTCTTTTCTGCAATACAATAACTAGGATCAAGAAATAAACAATTAAAAGCAGATTAATCCAAAACGTGAAACAGAACTGAACACTTTTACTAAGTTTTTTTTTCATTTGAACTCTTTTTTCTGAATATAAGGTAAGAACACTACTTTCTGGTCCTGCTAACATTCTTTTGTTTTGAACTTCTTTTTCAGTACAAGGTAAGAATATTTTCTTATCTACAATTCTACTTGTTCACTGATTCTTCACATTAAATCAAATCAAAAGTTATCCAAATGAATTTAACTTGATTATAACAGCAACAATCTTAATGGCAGAAAACCAGAAAAAGTACAAAATTGCGGGCAAAACTTGCAGCAAAAAACTAATGACCTCGGATAAATCGGGGATATTGATCAAGCAAAGAGTAGCAGACGTTGCATTGCTGGAGGAAATAGCAAAATTAACACCGCCATCTCTCGGCGTGGCACCGAAGGGCATCGGATGACCGGAAAACACCTCAAATCGACGCCGCTTAAGCGGAGGTTTCTCGACCACCACTGCAGTCTCAGCATCGCCTCTATCGGTAGCATCATTCACAATTAACAAAGAATTGGGCTTTTTTACGGAATTTTCAAAAGATTTTTGTGAAGCTCCAAAACTTATTTTGCTTTTCCCAAAATGGAAAGAACTTGTTGGAGAGAGTTTGGGCGTGCAACTTGAGAGTGAAGAACAGTGAATTAACTCCATTTTGATAACCTAATGCGAATTTAAGGAATCAAAAACCTCTTACACATAAATCTTAGATGGTAGATTCAAGATTGTGAGTGTGTAAAGTCGGGACTCGGGAGTAGTAAAGGAGGGAGAGAGAGTGATGTGGAGTATGTGGTATTGTTGTATCTTTGAAGTGTCAACTTGTTAAGTTACTATTTTATTAATTTGAGTAATTTTTAAATTAATTTAATTATTTTGAGTAATTTTTAAATTAATTTTGATTAAGCTTTATTATTTTGGATTTAAAAAGAAAATCTTGCCCAAGGGAAGGTTTTAAAATCTTCCCTTGATCAGGCCAGCCCCCCTTTTCACAACTTCTTTCGTTCTAGAAATTTTCGTAACTTTATACCACAAGAAATATGAATGCTTTTAGAACTAAAACCTCATCAGAGTACAATTCAATTTTAAGCCCCCGTAATTTGAAGACAAGTGAAACATATCTTTCGACTACTTGAACTACCCAATATATACAATAACATACCTTTAATTTGTTGTTCAAAACTCAAGTATTAAACGACAAAACCCAAGCATTAAACAACAAACTTATGATTAGACTTGGTAACCCGCATGGTGATGACTGAAGAGGAGCTAGACGTCAAGGTGATCAACGTGAAAAAAGGAAACAAAGTTCTTACAATTGAGTAGGCTCTGTCACTCAAATGAAGAAGATTCTTATACCATCTAATGACAAGAGTCGGTGTCAGTTGACATATAGCCGCGTCAACATGTCTGGCATATAACTCTATACATGAACCCCTTCTCAAACAATAAAGGATGTCTCCATCAAACCCACAAATTTTCCCTCGTAAGAGAAACTTACTTACATCATCGGAGTAATTTACATTGCTTAGAATATCATCGATGTTCTTCGCGAAAAATACCATCGTCGTCGTAAATCTCTTGATTCACCACCACTAAAATCAATCTATTTATCAAAGGCTTAAACGGTGAAAGTTGAGATAATTAAAAATAAAATAAATCAACGTCTCAACTCGTTATTGTTTTTTATCAAAGTTTTAACACACGTATATTTTTTTAATAAATAATTTATATTGAAACGTTAGTATGTTCAAAATTTTATAGTTTTGATTCACTCATCTATAAGCTTGTATGAGGACAAATTTATTTATCAACTTTTAGTCTACATGCGCATAATTTGTAATAAATAGCCATGACAAAACTTGAACATATACAAAACTTTGTCTGGTCGAGTATTATGTTGTCTCCGCTCATCTAGAAGATTACACGAGAAGATAATTTTGGTAATTTAAATTATTTTCAACGCAACATCATTATGTTATAGGTGGGAAAATAATAGTGGGACAAGAGAATTATTATTTAATAATTTAAATTAGTTGTACATATCTGTAATATCGAGAATCAATTTTTGGACGATTATAGTCCTATTATAATTTAATTATTTCGATTATGTCTTACTTTTCATTTTTCAATATATATTTAATGTATCTAACCATTAGCTACCATCAATATATGTACATTTGACATATTCATTTCACCTTTGTGTTTTCATTAATGTATAAATTTCTTATTATTAATTCTCAATTAATTAGCATTCACATTCTCCAATCAGAATAATATTACACGCAAATTCAAAAAATTTCCTTTTTTTTTTAATCACACATTTTTTAATTAAAATACTATTCAAAAATGCATTATTTTCCAAAAAAAAAGGGGCTCGAACATGCTCTTAATTAATATTCATCTTCATTTATTTTTCTCGGTACATAATCATTCGATGGGCTGATGGGAAAATCACAATTTGTTAAAGCTTGTGGTTCCATTTTAAAAAACCAACTTTATTAAAAGATATAGTCCAAATTTTTATGAGTTGGTCTATATTTTTCAACTTTATTCGATATGAGATTTCATCATTTAACACGCCCCACAAGATGGTGGCTCGTTTCAGCAACCCAATCTTGAAATCCATGTTCTCATTTTTTGAATCTTGATCCGAAGGAATTGCTCGTTAGAGCATAATGAACTCTAATATCACATTAAGACTTTTGATTCCATTTTAAAAGGTCAATTTTATTGAGAGAAATAGCATAAACCTTTATACGCTGGTCTATATATTTATTTTTATTCGATGTGTGATTTTATTCCTTAACACAATCCTACTCCTTAGTTAGACTGATAGCATCAAACATAGTCAAGTTCATTCAACTTGTCTCCTTCACACACAATAATTGAAACAGTCGATACTCGTCCTTCCTATTTGACCTCCCTATACAGTTGGGAGCTTGGTACACTATAATGGTTGATGTTTATGGAAAAAGAGAAGACAGTTTCATTTTGGGGGTACAATGGGGGTTGTAGAGTGGATTGGTTTGGGTAAGGCTACTGCTGCGTAAGGATTTGCATCAAATATACGTTGGTAGAATAAAGAACGGTTCATTCGAGCATAATGGCTTCAATATGAAACACTTTTCTAAACTTGATCTACGTATGCTCTCCTCAAACGCCAGTTTACGGGATCGTGGTTCATTAATATTCTACCGATACCCTACAACGAGGTCTATTTCGAGATGGTTTCATTGCAAACGCTACATTGGTTAAATAGTAGAAAGCGTCAAAAAATAAAGTGAAATAAAACGATTTGAGTAATGTTCTAAACGCTGCAATATGTGACAGCACATAGTAGGTCAAATTAAATAAATCCATTAAGTTATTGTTTATTTATTTAATTTATAAAATTAAAATTATTTCTCTCAATCATAGATTTCTAAATTATTAGTCTTATCCATTAAGTTGACTACAAAAGGCCTGCTAGTACAAACTTGCAATGATCATCATCAAAGAATAATTACTAGTATTTAAATCAATCAATATATTATATATATGTTATAATGCGCCAGGTGGCGCAACTAATTTTTCTCAAAGAAATAATGAAATACATTTTTTGTAAGTATTATAGGGGTGTTTGGTGGAGATTAAAATTAGATTTTTAGTAGATTATGATAAAAGTTTTTGAAATGTATAGTTGAAAAGTTGTGAGATCCATGAAAAATGTGGTTAATATTGTTTGACTTTGATTTAGATTAAAATCAGATTTTAATCCACGCCAAACATGCTCTATATATATGTGATTTTTTTTTTTTATGACAAATTTACATTGTTATGCAAGTATGTTGGTTTCTCGACCACAAGAATATGTATGCTCGACGAAGTGAAATTGCTCGTTGTTGTGGAAAAGAGTATCATCAACGAGCAATTTCACTTTGTCGAGCATACATATACTTATGGTCGAAAATCAAATGATTTTCATCATATATGTCATTCTTAATATTTTAAGTGATAATTGATTGAAATGCCAAGATAGAGAGAGAAATAAGTCGACAATTTTTTTCATTAATAGGTATTTTAATACGAAATATATTTTGCATAAAGTAAAAATCTCGATACTCCACCAAACGTGCGAGTCCCTGAAATCCAGTTTCAGGTGTTTATAAAAAATAATTAATTGGAAAGAGATTTTGATAATTAGTAAGAGTTTTCTATTATTAAATAATTACTTATTTAATTTTGTCTTCGAATAAACACAAAAAGTAGTTTTTGGTGAGAGTGGAGCGTGCGATAGAATTTTTATATGTTTTAATTATTGCTTCTAGTTCTCTTCAAATAATAATTTTCGGTGAGATTCGAATAATAATATTTTTCTCGGTACATAATCATTCGATGGGCTGATGGGAAAATAAGAATTTGTTAAAACTTGTGGTTCCATTTTAAAAAGCCAACTTTATTAAAAGATATGGTCCAAATTTTTATAAGTTGGTCTATATTTTTCAACTTTATTCGATGTGAGATTTTATCATTTAACATGCCCCACAAGATGATGTTTCGTTCGAGCAACCCAATCTTGAAATCCTTGTTCTCATTTTTTGAATCTTGATCCGATGGAATTGCTCGTTAGAGCATAATGAACTCTAATATCACATTAAGACTTTTGGTTTCATTTTAAAAGGTCAATTTTATTGAGAGAAATAGCATAAACCTTTATACGCTGGTCTATATATTTATTTTTATTCAATGTGTGATTTTATTTCTTAACACAATCCAACTCCTTAGATTGATAGCATCAAACATAGTCAAGTTCATTCAACTTGTCTCCTTCAAACGCAATAATTGAAACAGTCGATACTCGTCCTTCCTATTTGACCTCTCTATACAGTTGGGAGCTTGGTACACTATAATGGTTGATGTTTATGGAAAAAGAGAAGACAGTTTCATTTTGGGGGTACAATGGGGGTTGTGGTGTGAATTGGTTAAGGCTACTGCTGCGTAAGGCTTTGCATCAAATATACGTTGGTAGAATAAAGAACGGTTCATTCGAGCCCAATGGCTTCAATATGAAACACTTTTCTAAACTTGATCTATGTATGCTCTCCTCAAACGCCAGTTTATGGGATCGTGGTTCATTAATATTCTACCGATACACTACAACGAGGTCAATTTCGATATGGTTTCATTGCAAACGCTACATTGGTTAAATAGTAGAAAGCGTCAAAAAATAAAGTGAAATAAAATGATTTGAGTAATGTTCTAAACGATGCAATATGTGACAGCACATAGTAGGTCAAATTAAATAAATCCATTAAGTTATTGTTTATTTATTTAATTTATAAAATTAAAATTATTTTCTCAATCATAGATTTCTAAATTATTAGTCTTATCCATTAAGTTGACTACAAAAGGCCACAAACTTGCAATGATCATCATCAAAGAATAATTACTAGTATTTAAATCAATCACTATATTATATATATGCTATAATGCGCCAGGTGGCGCAACTAATTTTTCTCAAAGAAATAATGAAATACATTTTTTGTAAGTATTACGAGGGTGTTTGGTGGGAATTAAAATTAGATTTTTAGTAGATTAAGATAGAAGTTTTTGAAATATGTAATTGAAAAGTTGTGGGACCCATGAAAGATGTGGTTAATATTGTTTGACTTTGACTTAAATTAAAATCAGATTTAATCCACGCCGAACACGCTCTATATATATGTGATTTTTATTTTTTTTTATGACAAATTTACATTGTTATGCAAGTATGTTGGTTTCTCGACCACAAGAATATGTATGCTCGACGAAGTGAAATTGCCTGCAATTTCACTTCGTCGAGCATACATATTCTTGTGGTCAAAAATCAAATGATTTTCATCATATATGTCATTCTTAATATTTTAAGTGATAATAAGAAATAAGTCGACAAATTTTATCATTAATAAGGGATCATTATGGCCAAATAGGTATTTTAATACGAAATATATTTTGCATAAAGTAAAAATCTTGATACTCCACCAAACGTGCGAGTCGCTGAAATCCAGTTTCAGGTGTTTATAAAAAATAATTAATTGGAAAGAGATTTTGATAATTAGTTAAATAATTACTTATTTAATTTTGTCTTCGAATAAACACAAAAAGTAGTTTTTGGTGAGAGTGGAGCGTGCGATAGAATTTTTATATGTTTTAATTATTGCTTCTAGTTCTCTTCAAATAATAATTTTCGGTGAGATTCGAATAATAATTTTTTCAGTGATAAGAATTTGATATGTTTGATAAGGTAAATAAAATTAATAAATAGGATTAAATAAAAAAAAAAGTTTAAATTGTTAAAGTTTAAAGCATCGGACTTTTTTTTTGTAATTTTGCAATTACGTACTTGGTTAGATGATTGAAGTGCAATATTATACAGAAGTCTACAAAATTAATCTCTTGCTTATAGTGGATCGGAGATATGTTGTCCACCGATGATGTAGCAACACGTCACCAATGGCAATACCACATCATCGATGGGTAAGGGATCAGTTTTGAAAGTCTATAAATTATCAAAATTAATTTTATAAGAATTTAATGGAGTGGTCGTGATGCAACTAGAAGTGCACAACGATAGAAAAACTTGATCAAAATTAGATGATACTCATGTTGGTCCCATTTTTCAAAATTCATTTTTTCTTGAATTCATTTTTAAAAACATATTTCATGTGATCCACAACTTTTCTTAACTTTTCAATAATATATTTCATTAACCTTTATAAAAAAAACTTTCCAAAAATATGATTTTAAGCTAAACCAAATAGGGGATTAATTCGTTGAAATTCGATACTCGTTGATCATCAAAGTCGATACAAACTCCAATATCAACACAAATTCCAAAGCGATGTGGCCACCGTATAAACTTAAGAATAATGTAATCTATCATCAATGGTGTTTAATACCATGCCACGTGTAGATAATTTATTTAATTATTTTTATCATTTAATGTCACTCAATATTATCTAGATCGATTTTGTAACATCGTTGATAGTAAATAATATTACTTATGGGTACAAATTTAATAAAAAAAAAAACTGCACTCTTAGTTTCTACCTTCTTATTTAAATTATAAAAATGACCGTAATGAATTAATGAAACCGTTATGAGCCTCTAATCCCAATAATTCAATTAATCCATATATATATATATATTTGGACGGTTAGGTTGGAGGTTACGTCGATGGCAACATGAACCCGTGTGCTAGTACGCGTCAATGGCTAATTGGATAGAAAAATGAGTAAGATTTCACCCTTAGATTTGCCTGACAGACTATTTAATTGAAGAAGTTTCTCTCTTTTTTCTTTTTTTTTTAAAAAAAGAGTATGCCCTGTCCATGTAGAGGCGCCATGCTATTGGCTGGGCATCTGTCCGCACTCCACGTAGACATCCAGCCAATAGGGGGCGCATGTCGTTCAGGGCCCACGTGGCCTGGACGAATAGCAAAACCATTCTTAAAAATAAGTGACTTGTTCAACCGTTCATTCAACTGAAGTTTCTAAAAAATCGTTCACCTCGTTTTTAAGGATTTTAATGTGCAGCTGCCTGTTTAAACCAAGAAATTCCGTTACATAATCCGTTAAAATGACAAATTCCGTTAGTTTTTCCGTTAAACCAACAAATTCCGTTAAATAGGCACTTTTTATATATAGAAAGATATTACTTATGGGTACAAATTTAATAAAAAAAACTGCACTCTTAGTTTCTACCTTCTTATTTAAATTATAAAAATGACCGTAATGAATTATATATGAAACCGTTATGAGCCTCTAGTCCCAATAATTCAATTAATCCATATATATATATATTTGGACGGTTGGGTTGGAGGTTCCATCGATGGCAACATGAACCCGTGTGCTAGTACGCGTCAATGGCTAATTGGATAGAAAAAATGAGTAAGATTTCACCCTTATATTTGCCTGACAGACTATATAATTGAAGAAGTTTCTTTTTTTTTTATAAAAAAAAAGTATGCCCTGTCCATGTAGAGGCGCCATGCTATTGGCTGGGCACCTGTCCGCACTCCACGTGGACATCCGGCCAATAGGGGGCGCATGTCGTTCAGGGCCCACGTGGCCTGGACGAATAGCAAAACCCTTCTTAAAAATAAGTGACTTGTTCAACCGTTCATTCAACTGAAGTTTCTAAAAAGTCGTTCACCTCGTTTTTAAGGATTTTTGCCTTTTTCCTTCTAGAAGAATTTTTCAAAAATTATTTTAGTTCAACTTCCTCGAAAAAATCCTTTATAAAGATAAAATATCTATAAAAAATTATTTAAATATGTTCAAAATCAACCTCTTTACTTCACAAGCAATTTTTTAACTCATTAAAAGCTCTTCCAAAAGATCTATATTCCTTTATTCCTAAAAGCAAGTGACTCTCTCTTTATAAGGAAGGATAAACCTCATTAAAAAGTATATACTCTCTGAGATAACTTGTGATCTAAACATTTGGAAAAAATAAATAAATAAATAAAAAATTGGTTAAAACTTAAGATCTCCCCTTTATAAATAGATCTCCTACTCTAGTTTCCTTGCAAAGCAAAAGCCCAAAATATTTTAGTAAAATAAAGATGAATATATTGACCTTTTATGGAAAGAAACTGCAAAATCTTTGTAGTGGTTCATATTCAAAAATTTCCTGTTTTTTCCAATCAACATGCTTCCTAGTCACTTGTTTTTATCGTTATTTCCTTTTCCGAATGAACTCGTTTGCATTCCAGATTTTTTATTTCGTTTTCCTTTCTTTTCTGGGTTTTTTGGTTCTCAAATCTTTGAATCCAAGAACAGAATTCAGACCAAGAGCCCTAGATTTATTTTTCACATCAGTCTCTGCAACTACAGTCTCGAGCATGTCCACTGTAGAAATGGAGGTTTTTTCAAATTATCAACTTGTTGTTATGACTATTTTAATGTTTATAGGTGGGGAGGTATTTACTTCCATGGTTGGACTTCATATGAAGAGATCGAAAATTATTAAAGCATGGAAAAGTGAAGGAAGAGTCACTTCTGTTGATAGTGATCCAACTTCACCACGTCCTTCTGATTTTCTTGATCAAATTGAATTGAGTATAGTGACAATTCCTGATTTGGTGGTTCCTAGGATTGAATCCCAGAATGATGTTTTGTCATCATACAATACCAACAACCCTTTCATCAGATACAATTCCATCAAATTTTTAGGGTTCTTAGTTTTAGGGTATCTTCTGGTGATTCAAATTATTGGCATTGCATCTGTTTTGATCTATTTAGCCCTAATTTCAAGTGCAAAAGATGTGTTAAGAAAAAAAGGGCTTAAAACCTTAACTTTTGCCATTTTTACAGTAGTGTCAACTTTTGCTAGTTGTGGATTTGTACCGACAAATGAAAATATGATGGTATTTAGTAAGAATTCTGGGCTGCTTTGGATTCTCATCCCACAAGTTCTTCTTGGGAATACTTTATTTCCGTCGTTTTTGCGATTTTCGATATGGGTTTTGGGCAAGAAATTTAAAAAAGCTGAGGCTAATTATTTGCTGAAGAAGACAGCAGAAGTTAAATACTTGCATTTGCTTCCTGGGATGCATTCTTCATTTCTGGTTGCTACAGTTTTGGGATTTATTTTTATAGGGTTGATATTGTTCTGCTCGATGGAGTGGAATTCAGCAGCCTTAAGTGGATTGAATACGTACCAGAAACTCGTCGGTGCTCTTTTTCAATCGGTTAATGCCAGGCATACCGGCGAAACTATTGTCGATATTTCAACAATCGCACCGGCCATCTTGGTATTCTTCGTGGTTATGATGTTAGTCTCTCTCTCTCTCTCTCTCACAGAGACTATGCCCTTCAATTTTGTGAAGGAGTAAACTCTAAGTCCTACTCAAGCATACTAATGCCCTGTTTAACAGGGCAACAATTCCCTGTTTTCTATTTTCCCACTTTTTGATTGTTTGATTGAATTTTTTTTCTGGACAACTGTCACAAATTCTTGATTTTCCTTGAATTCATTTTTCCACCAGGTAGGTGGTGGAAAACTGGTTTTCCAAGTAAATTTTTTTTTATTTGTAATGGAAACAAATTCTAAGTGGAATCGTAACAAATTCTATCTCTTTAATGAACAATTTTCATGAAGAATAAAGTCAAACGAATACCAAAAGATTCAAATTTTCAATATTTCCAGGTGAAAAATTATACCAATCAAACACAGCTAATTGATAATTCTCTGGAGAACAAGTCATGGCAGTTCAATTTCCTGAAATTCATTTTCTTTCCATCCAAATTCTGCTCTTGCAATCAAATGGGCGAAAAGATTTTTAGAATATGAGAGCTACGAGGAACATGAAAAATAACATCTCGAAAAACCATATAGAACCCAACATCAATTTCATCACCTTGCAGTGGGGTTGGGGTAGAAGCAGCAAGGAAATCGCACTTCCGCGAAGTGTGGCATCAATTAAATTAACAAATAAATTTACTTTTTGGTTACTTAATAACTAAAATATTGAATTATTGTTCTAAGACCGAATCTCATAATTCGCAGGTTTGAATATTTTATTTGCATTATTGCTTGATGATTGACAATATTTTAAGAACTCCTGTACCATGTGGAATTCTTCAAGTCAATTAAAATCCTCGTATCGTGTTCCATCCTAAATTATTGTAGTTTTTTAAAGGTCGCTGTATTATACATAAATAAATACTAATTATTGGTCAAAACGAGGTATTTAAGTAATAAATTAGACCAATAAAAATTATAGTCAAGACCTTTACTTTGAAAAATAGTTAAATCTGACGCTGGTAGGTAATTAAGCCCTTGTTTGAGCCTCGTTTTCTCAAGAATTGGACGGTTCTCTTTGTGTTTCAATTTTGTATTTTCAGCTTTGAATTCATTTTAGGTTTTGTGTTTTGAGTGTTTATTTTGAAATCGTTGAAAATATGTTCTTTTTGGCATTTTGAAAACACCCAAAATTCGTTTTGAAAATTTTGACTTGATCATAATTGAAAATACCCTAAACGACAAGTTTTCTTTGTAAATTTTTAACTTATTTTTAAAAACACGTTTTCGAAAATAGAAAAGAGAACTCGTTTTCGCTGTTAAAATCGAAAACCAAAAAATGTTTGAAAATGGTAAAGAAGACAGACTCATTTTTTCAAAACTCATTTTTCACCACACATTTTCAATAAAATAATTTTACACGTAAATCGCAAAATTTTCCTTCTTTTTAAATCGCACATTCTCCCAAAATTATTATTCTAATATTTTAGTTGCATTATTGTTTCACGATTTACAAATAATATATTTTAATTGCATTATTGCTTCACGATTTACTAATATTTTAATCACGTATCCTCCCAAAATTACATCCTCGTTCTATTTTAAATTTTGATTGTTTATCTGAACTTTGTCGATTGTGATGGTATATACATCGAGTCAAGGGTTCCATCTTAAAAGAGACGTTCCTCAATTGAGATTTGGTGATGTAATTAATAGTCATCGTTTTTCGTGGCACGCAGGTACCTTCCTCCATATACTTCATTTTTACCGGTTAAAAGGGATCCACAATGGCAAATAGATTGCCAAGAGAGGAAGAATCAAAGAAGAGTTGGAGAAAATTTTATATTATCACAGCTTTCTTATTTATTGATCTTCATTATTCTTATATGCATCACAGAAAGGAAGAAAATAAAAGAGGATCCACTCAACTTCAGTGTGTTGAACATCACACTTGAAGTCATAAGGTAAATATTTTAAAAAATAATATCCTTATTTTTATTTTTTTTAAAGTTTTTAAATCAATTAATTTGACGTCATTTTGTAATTAAAAAATAATTAATTTGACACAATTTTTTAACCAAATAATCACACCACCAACTGACCAATTAAATTGTTTGTCCCTTTTTTTATTGACTAGTATTTGTTTAATCCAGCTTCTGCTTAAAAGTAAGCTTTAATTATTGAACCACAATGAACTTTATAATATGCACTTCAAGTGAAAAAGGTCGGCCAAATACATATTGTCCAAAGGGTAGGTGTCAAAATGGATAAAGCAATCCACGCCTAAGATTAAAAAAAAGAGACATGCTACATATACAGACACGGAAGTCACAAGGGTGGAGTGGGGTGGGGGTGGCATGGGTAATTTTTTTTTTCCTTTTTTATTGCGTAGGACCCATCCTCATGTGAGAGGGTGTAAGAATTCCGTGAATTCATTTTTTGTACAAATGGATTGATCCTAAAAAAAAAATCAGACCCCCACTGGCCGATTGGGATCAAGACAAATTAGATTTTTCTCTTGTCAAAGCTTTCGCTATGTGAAGAATTATTACAATCAGATAGATTTTCACACACTCAAACCTCCAAGTACCACACCCATCAATTTTTACACTTTGAACAACATACGAAGAGATCAAGAAAAATCAGAATACCGGGCTTACTATTTTTTCCATGCAAAAACTCTCTAATCACGTATTCAAGAAACATAATCACGAGTTTTCTATTCCAAAATCAAATTATGCCCCTGTTTGAGCCACATTATTTTTTTCATTTTCATTCTTCTACTTATTTTCAACCACACATTCTTGAATAAAATAATATTTTTCATCATGTCCATAATTTTTCTTTCTTTTTCAATCACATATTCTCCATCACATCAAACAAAAAAATGCATTCTTGCAGAAGAAAGATTGGAATTAATAATCACAATATAAACACGATCATGATTCCAAATTATTTATCTCCCTATATATTTTTTTGATTGACAGTGCATATGGAAATGTGGGTTTCACGACTGGGTATAGCTGTGATCGTCAACTAAAGAGCGATCCAACTTGTGTGAGCAAATGGTATGGATTCAGTGGGAAATGGAGTGATGAAGGCAAAGTATTTCTCATCATAGTCATGTTTTTTGGTAGACTCAAGAAATTCAATATGAATGGAGGTCAAGGATGGAAACTCTTGTAAATAAATATTTATAAAATATGATGGGACGAGCTTTTATGTATGTAAGTGTTTTAATTATCTAAGTTTAAAATTTAATGTGCTGCATTACTTGCAAGCTGAATTCATATTCTATCAAAACTCAAACAATGTTAGGCTAAGCTTATATGAAGCTTCGTAATCCCATAACGTTTTCCCTATTTTTAATCAGATATTCTCCCAAAAAATCATTTTTCACTTCAAATAATCTCCTCCCAAACAAATAATAAAAATGATCTCCAAATAAGCTACTCAATCTCAAGAGACAAGCTTCGGTTGTGCCGTCCTATATACTTATGTAGTAAGATCGCTGCCCCTATGGCACATCTTCAAGTGGTAAAAGGGGAAGGTGAAAAAACTCCAACTTTGCTTGAGGCTGCGGCGTCAAGGGTTCGAATCCTAAAATATGAATTTGGCTTTTGGGTAAGTGCAAGTGTACAAACAGCCTTCCACCCTATACCCTTGAAGGCATAACCTACGATTTACCTCCATCACCAAAACGACAAGGCCCAGAACATGGTAGGTGGGAACCGCTAAGGATGCGATTTATCTTCTTTTTTTTTTTTTATGTAGTAAGATCGTTAATTCAAATCACAACATGTGATTATTTTTATCACATTTAATTGTTACTTTGTTTCTCTCTCTTAATTACCTAAACCATCCACTCCTATCACGTCTTTTGTGTTGGATTTCATTTTTGCTTCATTTCTCTTTTTCACTTTTACATTATTTAGTTTTTAATCTTTATTTTTATCTAAAAAATCCTATGAGCAAAGATTGAACAATTTCGATTCTAGCACTTTTAAGACCTTATCGATGTTACGGAAAACAGGGCTAGAGAGGAAGTTCGTAAGGTATAAGATTTCCTCGTTTCATTTCCAATAACCATATAAGCCCCAATTTGATCCACATTATCTAAAAACTCCTTTTTCCAAACTCCTTTTTAACCACACATTCTCACAATAAACATTTTGTACGTAAACCTAAAAAATTTCTTACTTTTTAACCACAAATTTTTCAAAAATTCACTATTACAAAACTCATTTTTAAGCAAAAATGGAGCTCAAACATAGGCATAAAGGTTTAAATTGATAGTACATTCATATGTTCAATTAAGGAACATTTTATAAAGGTTGATAACTCATTTGGAGCAAGGGATGTCTAATATACATGAGATTATAATGTATCGTGACCTCGGAAACCGTTGAGATCCATTTAGGTAAGTGGATCCATAACTTTTCCCTATAAAATAATTTTGTACGTAGATTCTAACTTTTTCATACTTTTTAAACGCATATTCTCCAAAAAGAATCATTTTTCACAAAATTTATATTAAAAAAATCTCTACCAAATAGGGGCCAACTCTTGATGACCCTACCTAGTTTACCTATGAAGGTTTGGAAAAGCTTCTTCCATATTTATTGTGTGCCATTTCTAAGCCTTAGATTGTCAAGTAAAAAGGAGGAGGGCAGAAGATATTACCATCACAAAATAATTATTTTTTCATAACAAGGTTCGACACACATGGTAAAAAGAGAATGAAAAACGAATTGTCGAAATGGGTTCGTGACACATCATTTGATTTATAGAAGCCTACAATTTTCAACTTCAGCCATTATTATTAAATGGAACTTCAGAAATCTTACAGGAACTTCCTGTGCGGCCTCCCTGCATCCTCATCTTGCATGTGCTGCCATCAAAATTACAGAGTGATATATTATAGGAAAGTTCTAGAAACTTCTGACACACAGATCACACGGAATTGAAGGGGGTGGGTGGCCAACATAGGAGCATAAAATGTATATAAAATATTAAAAAAGTAATTTTTAATCAAAGCATCAAATGCAATGATTTCATAACTTGTTCGAGACCTAATTGTCCAAAATCAACTTAGTAAGTAATTATTGGCGCTGACAAGCATAGAAAGCAGATGAAATAGATATATGTGTGTCTAAGAACCAGGTTGAACCTCTAAATGAATGAAAAACCATTCAGCTTAACAATCAAATTTCAATGCACGGTATAATACTCATATGTAAACACTGTTGAGAAGGAAGAAAGATGAACAAAAGGAAAGAATAGAGAAGGAATGAATAGCATTGAAACAATCCCACATTGATTGAGAAACGAAAACTAAAAATTATGGGCTTATCAACCCAAATTCTGGAAATGGGTTTAGATCCAAAGGAATGCCCAAGTTCTTAGAGGGTGAGTGGAGAACCTATACAATTGTAGGCTCGGGAAAATGTGAGCGCTACCTCTGCCCACCAGCTCAAAACATGGGTTTAATCAAAAAATTATTTTCTTATGGAAATTCTTTTGAAATTTAACCAATATCTTAAATTAAAGACCAGCAAAAGATATTTTATGCAGATAGGCCAGGCCAAATGATGGTTAAACTAAGACAGTCATTCTAATCTGTGATTGGACCTGACCTAAATGATGTGACCATTCAGAAAGAAATTCAAATGTTACGGTTTTTATAATCTGGTGTCTTTTCTTATTTAAAAGGCTTTTCAGCCCAAATGATTTGTAAATTCATGAAAAATTGCTTCCTTTGAATTTCGGTTTTTCGCATCTTCTACTTATATATTTCAACTTTTCGTCCAAACAATTCAACTATCTGAAAACCATAGCTTTAGTTCGAATGAACACAAAAGGATTATAGATAAGACCATTTAAGTTGCATTTTTCCCACCAAGAATTATCATCTCTTCTCTTGTTCGTGCAACTAATTTCTTCACTTCCTACAAACATTTTTTCTTCCATTATACAATATGATGCTTCAAAGATTGATGGAAAAACTTAGGTTTATTAATTGCTTCCTATATGATTGAGTTGTTGCTTCTAGAGAAATGAGAATTCACTCTATGCTACAAAAGAAAATTGCTCAAGACTTTAAACAAGAGGCAGTAAACATTTCTGTTTACTAGATAACACAAATACGATGGATTCAGATATCTACAAGTATAATTTATTTACATTTACGTGATTAAAAATTGCAGTACACGCCCTAGCATATTATAGGAAGAGAAGAACAAGCATTTCACTACTAAAGTCTAAGATGCAGAAATACACATGCACACAAACATGTGCCAAACAGAAAAAAATAATTATTGCTACACTTCTGATTTACAGCACTATAAAACAGGTACAAAACAGCAATAACTTGAATATATTTGGAGATTTGCTTAATGAGCTAGTGCGCTTCATTTTAACAAATCCATGTAAAATATTCCCAACAAGTGACAAGAGGAAGAAAGCATATGATTCAGCGATTGTGTAAAAAGCAGAAGTGCAGAACTAAGGAAAAAATCAATACAGAATCAATAGAATCAGAAATTACAAAATAGAGAAAGAAAGTCTTTTCATAAAGCAAATTTTGTCTCTGCAATTCATTTCGTTTGTGTGATTTCGTGTCATCTTGGCCATAAAAAAAAAAAATTCAACATGGAGCAATTCAATGTTGCTCAAAAACGAATCTTTATAGGTCGTCTTCAATACCATTATAGATTCAACTTCAACTAAAAGCCTGCTAAACCAAATAAATCCCAAGATTTCAAACATGTTCCATTATAAAAACAATACACCAGAATCATCACGAAGACTTAAATTGACCTGAAGTTGGACAAATTGGAGAAAAATCAAAACCAATCATTCGGGTATCAACATTTCTCAAAAACACAACTTTTACTAGTCTTTTTTTATTTTTTAGTACCCATTACAGATTCAACCGAAAAATGCTAAATAAAACAAATCCCAAGGTTTCAAACATGATTAATTGTGAAAACTAGACCTCAGAATCATCACGAAAATTCAATATCGAGCTGAAATAGTGGCAACTATAGAAAAACCAAAACTAATCATTAGGCTATCAAGGTTACTCAAAAACAAATCTTTATAGTCTATGGATCCTTCTTCAATAGCCAGATGCAAAGTTCAATTCCAATAAATAAACACGGGAATCATCAATGACACTCAATATCAACCCAAGATTAGGGGAAAATGATCGACACGTACGGAAAAATCAACCTGCTAAACCAAACAATTCACCAGATTTCAAACACGTTCAATTCAAAAGGTTACATCGGAAACATAATGAACACTCAAAATCGACGAAAAATTAGTTAAAAAAAGACAGACCCATTATAAAAAAACGAAGTCACGGATTAATGAAAAATAAAAGTACGATAAGAACAAAACTTACGAACTCTTTGACGATGCCCTTGTAGACGAAGACGGGGAGGGCGATGCCGAATAGGCCAACAAGGGCAAAGTTGCGGCGGGTCCACCTGAAATTGTGCTCCAGATTCTCACGCGCCGACGACCAATCTTCTATCCACTTGTTCTTGTGAGCTTCCATTCCTCCGCCCATCTTTTTCGTTTCTTCTCTTGCTGAATTCTCTCTGTTCCTCAAGGTAAACGATTCAGTACAGTAGGGCTATTTCTCACACTTTGGGGGTTAAAATTTGTAGGATTTTGTTTCGATCACTCAACTAATATTAAAGTTTCATTTAGACACTCATCTTTGAATACTTCCAATTTAGTCACCCAAAATTTCTATTTATAACATCACCACTACTGATGTGGACAAGTTTTGAAATCTTCAAAGTAGATTCCTCTCTAAAGAAAATTGGTAGGATATTTGCAGCGGATATTCTTTCTATCATTTATAGAGCTTGTTTGATCTCAATTTTTTTCAAAATGTATTTTTCTCTTTTTTCTTTTTAATTACACATTTTTTAATAAAATAATATTACACGCAAATTTAAATTATTTTTCTTATTTTTTAACCACACATTCCCCATTAATTTACCATTCCACCAAAAAATGAGCTCATCCAGGCCCATAACATTTAATTAATTTAAATAAGAAAAAATTGCATCAAATGTCATCAACCTTTTCAAAATATGTAGCACAGTTCAAACTTTTAATAAATGTGCGTTGAAGAAACCTTGACGATTTTCATCCAAAATCTTTCAGTT